ATGTGTATAATTATGGTAATATTGCTAGCAGATAACGCCTTACATTCAGTCCAATTAAAACTGGTCTTGTATGTACAATACATATGTTTATCCGTTTAGTTTACCTGCCGCATATCTTGCAGAAACATGCTCGTATTTAGAGCAATGCTGTCTACAGACGTGATCTGAGTCAGGATGTGAGTCACTATTCCTATAGTGGCTGATTTTGCCGGCACGAAGCAGCCAATGTGAGCCATGAACACGATCAGTGCAACTTGTTTGAGATAAGTGCTCTTGCCGGAGGCGTTCGGGCCGGTTAAGATTTTCACGAGGCTCTTCTCGTCTCCAGAATAAGTGTCATTCGAAACAAACGTTGTTAGAAACTCCTGCAAGGGATGTCGGCCTTGCTCTATCGCTATGATCTGTCGATCCATCATGTTCGGTTTCACGTAATTGTATTCTCGTGCAACCACATAAAATGCCAGCAATCTATAACGATCGGCACAACGCGAGAAGTGTTATAAAAGAGTATATAAGCTGGAGCACAAATTTTTGCATAATTGACCAATCAGAGTTCTTTATTTTCATTCCCACACTAGAAGATGACTATCTTCTAAGGAGTCTTCTCTAAGGAGTTCAGAGCTTCTTCTTTCGTTTTAATATTAATTCTTTTCATAAAAATTTCAGGAAAAATCTTATTATTGATCAAAACGAAAATAGTTTCTTAATGCTTAATAATATTTGTTTATATATTATAGATTTGCAAATACATTTTTCAGTTCTATAAACTGCGCGCCGGTTTAGTTTGTGATTGGACTTGAAACGCAATCATAAACGGAAAATAGAACTAACGTTACGAACTACATTGATCATCGAATATTAATAAGCATTTTAAAATGTTGCAAAGGACTTATTGCAAAAAGTATTAGTATTCAGTCAGGGTTTGAATCTGGAACTCTTGACTTTCTAAGGTGGACTTACCAATTCGACTACCAAGACACGTGGATTTATTGCAATAGCTATTGTATTAGACTGAGAAAATAGAATTCTTTCTCTTATTTGATTTATTCTTATCGGTCTGATTTTCACTTATAACTGTTTAATTCTTTTAATTATAATTGTTTTATCTTTTCTTTTATCTAATTAATTATAATTCTTTTTATTTTTTATCATCACTGACGTCAGTTCGCACATTTTCTTTATATGTAAAATTCATAATATATCTAATTCACTCACGTGTCTAATTCGGCGCACAATTGAATCGTGTTGAAGATCGACGCAGCGTGCTTATTTATATACTTTACAAGTTTCAACATAATGTAACTTTCCCTCTTATTTATTCTTAGTAGTATATCACCTATAGTTTCGTCCAATTCTAAAAAACCGATTTCAATTTTAAACGGACGCAAAAAAAAAATTATGCATTTAAATGCATATTGTGCATACAGTTTAAAGTTGTTGTAAAAATTAGAAAATAGAACCTTTGGCGGTGGGACTCTTATAATAACGTATATTATTGCTGACGAATTTGAACTCTAGGTTTTCCAAGTCCACATTATCGACCGGTGACGGACTCCATCCAGTTATCGCTAGGAGATATCCGATATTCGGTATGTACACCATTTTGCAGGTCGTTACCGAGGCCGGAAGATACTCTTTCATGTCTTTCTCTACCATCTGTGTCAGGGTCTCGGGCAAAGTGCTTCTCACGTGGTGTACTGTATTCGATAGCGATAATGAGAATAATGTAATACGCAATGAAAACAATCGGCAATAATATTCACCGTACAATGATAATGTAATTTTCAAAAATTATATATTATCCGTGTAGCATAGAAGTTTACAGCAATATTATTACAATATAACATTGCTAGAATGATCTGTTCTGTATGGGTAACTCTGCTATTTTGTTCGGATTTATTTTTTGTCTTAGAAAGTAGAGTATTTTCTTATTAATATTTTATTAAAAAATTTTTTACGACATTTTTGATGACTTATGCCTGCTTCTACTAAGGTAGATTAACTTCTTATCTCAATTTAACTTAATCTAATTCTTAAAATTAGAAAAAAGTAAATAGTAAGTTGGGATTAAAGTCAATCTGTATTGATGGAAAGAGGCATTAGGTTGTTAATGTAAGATTTTGTGTTCTCTGAAAAAATTTATTTTTTATTTTTTAGATCATATAATAATTAAATTATGTGATCACATACCTGATAAATTTGAACAAAATAGCAGGGTTCAGTAAAAAGTTCAAGATCAGCTTACGATTGTCTAAATGCGAATCCACATTTGCGCGTACGATAAAATCATGCTCGGATCTTTTCGCACCAAAGTCCACTATGTACTCAATGAAATACTTGATGTAACGTATTTCATTCGTGATACTGCTGACGATTTTGTCGAACAGCCTTACTTTTTTACAGTGTTTTTCGCATATATCGGCGATGTAAATTATAGAGGAAACCGTCTACGACATGAAATACAAAATAGAATGTAGAACATGCGAGTAAGGAATAGGTATCGCAAGTAAATTATTGAGCTGCCTGATTAAAACTGGAAAACATGATAACAACCTTATGCAATCGTCGCCAATCAGAAACTTTAGCTTGCTGCGCTAAATATCGATCCAGAATGACGTTAGTCAAGCGGTAAACGTGTTTTAAACACGACGTCAGATTTTGCACGATACTGTAGTTATCCGGATTCAAACAGAATTCGATGACTTCGAATCGTTCGTTAAGAATCTCGATATTTCGAATGGGATGTCGCAACGTTTTCCTATAAAAGAGTCTCTGAGTATTGTAAAATATAATAACGTTACAAGTTATATAAAAGACGAGAGGATAACGTGCCATAAAAATTGTGCTCCAGGTCGCGATTGGCAACGATTCAGAAGGATGAATAAGCTGCCACTTTGCTTCTTCGCTGCTGCATCGCCACACTTGAAAAGACTCGGGTGATGTCTGGCATGCACGATATTCAGCGCCTCGTAAGTGTCATCATCTATCATGACGATGTCACGTCTACGAAATCCCGTGTGCAACAAAGAAACGACCATGCGTGAATAAAACGCAATTTGTTAGCATCCATCTATTACAAAGCTAGAAAGTCTTTCGGGACGGCCAACAAATATTGTAAACTGTTACAATAAATTCGGAGGAGAGTATGATCACGATTAATCTTACATTACTCGCGTTCCAGGTAGCAAGCTAAGAAATTATTTGCTATCATTTCAACATTTCTGGCATTCCAATATTATATCTCAATTTTTATCATTGTCTTTGATGATTTATAATTAAATTAAAAATTGATAATATTCTCCATATTATAAAGATTGATAATGCATATTTTATATATTTTTTAAATAAAGATAAAATTACAACAAAAATTTTATCATAAAACAATTTAAATTATTATAAAAATAAAATAATAATAATAATAATTTAAAATTATTATATGTATAAAAATAATTTGTGCTAAACATAATATAATGTAAATAATAGTAAACATTTATCAAATTTAAAGTAAAGTGAGGATATCTGTACACCCCATGCGAGTAATAAAGGATTAATAAAAACATTCAGAAATTAACGTCTAATGAAGACTCGGGTCTTTCTCTCGTAAGACAACATTCTCCAAGGAATGATCAGCAAACTAAACTCCACTACTACCAGTGTATCGTGCCTAAAGTATTTAATCCTATCGTTAGATTAAAGAAACTCACAACGTCACGCTAGACAGAGACACAAAGCCAGGCCTGCCGGAAGGATCTAACGCGATATTACTCCAATGCTGGTCGATGTAGATCAAGAGAAGACCCAGCGCGTGGATCATGACGATCGATTTGAAGTTCAACAGGCCCTGCAGGAAGATAAGCCTCTCGACGTTGTTGGCGTTCGCCGGCTCGGACCGGAGCTTGAGACATCGTACTCTGTGATAGCATCTGTCGAAGCCGTGTTCCCTCTTCCGCATCACCCTCAGTGAGACCTGCGACGGCCCCGAGCTCAATCCCGACAACCTGCTCCGATCGCTCGACATTTCCGACATTACCAGAGCCTCGATTGCCGTGAGGAACTCATCGGACGTGCCGGAGATCGTGATGACGTAGCGCGGCTGACATTGCTTGTACAGGGTCTTCGCAATGTTAAAATGAACACCGTCGTCATAAGTATCATCCATCACGAACAATTCGGACGTGAGGATGTTGTAGTACGCCGCGCCCAATTGATTGCTCGACCAGATCATCGACAAAATGATCTGCGAAGATGAGACTGTATTTATATAAGATTCACAAAATATGAACGCGAAATGGCTCTCTAAAATCTCAATTAATAACAATAATCAAATGCGCTAATAACGCAATTCGTATTAACAAGAATTTGCTTACTTCCGACATAATTATGAGTTGTATTTTTTGTACAAAGAAAGCCAAGGAATATTAATATTTGGAGAAAAAAGAAATTGCGATCTTTTTAAAAAATTTCAAAATTAATTTGATACGAGCCTCATCCCTATCCGTAAAATTGTCGTTTTGCACGGTAGAGCCGTTAATGTTCTGCTGCTTTTGCGCCGCTACGCCTGATTGCGATGCTGGAATATTTATGTTGAGTTCTTCTTCATCGCTGCTACTTTCATTCAATATTGACTCAAAGTGTACTTGTCTGTAGTAAAATATACATTAATGAAATATAATAACGATATTATTTATCATTGAATACAACCAATTATTGAAAAGCAATTCAGGAAGCAAAAGTTTTTGCAACATAGCAACTTTCCAGAGGAATATTACAGCAGATTGGCACAGACCGTGTCTTCATTAATTCTTAATCGGGCAAAAAGCATTAGGTACATAATTGGACAGTTCGAACCTCGGTAGAGTCCTATTATTCCTTAGATAAATTAAAATAAAATGCAAATTTCAATATATTATAGTGAAATGTTTAGCAAAGTTCGTTGAATTAATCAAAAAATTAACAAAATATTTAAAAATAAAAAATAAGAAAAGATTATCGTAAAAAATAATATTCTCTAGGCTCTTAAGACCTGCCTTGCTCGATTATTCATCAACATAGTCAGCCATTGTAGAATCTGCTATTTCATTTAAATGATTACGAAATGACAGATTTGCTCGGCTTCTGCAATCGATCTGCCATCATATCTATTGATAGATTCATTCTGTATTCAATCGATTGTATTCTGCTATAGCAAATTCTGTTTTCTTGTTGGCATTCTGCCAAGAAAATTTGTAATAGACGCTTTGCAAAATTTAATTTCGAAAGATTTGGTTATTTAAGTATCTATATAAAATGTAATTTTATTAAGACACGAATGATAAGAACGAGTAATAAGAACATACATATTAGCTAAAGAGGAAGTTGATGGCACAACGTTTCTCGGAAAATTTGACTCATTTCTTGAATTCATTTCTTCTATCGTCTCTTCAGTTTTTTAAGATGTGTGAACAAGTAGACACAATAAAACAAATGATTATCAATCGATCTGAAATCCGCGCTTGTCGTATCTTATTTGTCTAACTTCAAGATGCTTTTAAATGCGAGATCAAAGTCCGCGAAAACAAATGAAATTTAAACAAACGTCGAAAACTATATATATTACATAATATAAATGCGGAAATTAAGAATTATAAATTTATCTTAATCAGACAAGAATTGAATTTTTTTTTTTATATATTAATGTGAAAATTGCAAACTTTATTTAACTTAGCGTGTGATTCACACACATAACTTCAATCTTGTTGAAGATGTAGATTGAACGGGGCAGGGATAAAAGAAGAAATTCATTCAGTTAATAACAACATTATCTTTTGTTTGATTACATTACATGAGCAAATATTTGCAGTTGCCTGCGGTTGTTACCTGTACATAATTACAAAATACTGCCCTAAACCTGTTTGAGTAAATGTATACACCCGGTATTATTGGTATTTTTCCCCGCGACGTGTTTTTATAATTGCTTATAAAACGATACGCCGCGCATGAATAAGCTTATAATCTTTGATTCCGCTTCTGTTTTGTTAATATACTTACGACAAAAATATAAATAGTAGATGAACGTACTGAGAATCGTACGGAACACATTTGGTTAGGAGTTAGATCGTGTTACTTGTTACACATCATATAAAGATATTACTTGACATTAGCTTCACGTAGAATGCTGCGCGAAGAATGATCACCGCGTGTGTGAATGATCATTTGCGCTATGTATGCTCGCAGAGAATAAGGGAGATTCTCGAAAAACATTCTCTATAAATCGTATAAAAAAATTACTTCTTTGTAAAACGGTATAAAATTTTTGTTTATAAAGTTTCGTAAAAATCTTTCGGCTTAATATTTAACGGGCTGACGTACACAAAATTGTCGATCTTATCTAAACCTCTTAACTATCTTCGTTTTAATTTAGATATAATATAGATCGAAGAAGAATCCACAAAATAAATTTTTCAGATTCGACATTTCGCGTACGCCAGAAAATATATGAATAACATACATCGAATTCTTTTTACACAGTTTTGTTAAGATCTACAGTACTCTTTAAAATCCGCAGTATGGCTTCTAACTCGGAATAGGCGGAGGCGGTTGGGGATTGAAAGAAATGGGTCGATAGCTCTTCTCCCTCACGAAAGGCTGCACACCGTTCAATATGAAGCCATTCATAAGGTTTCGTTCCTGTTTGACTGGTTCCACCGGGATCTCGTCCTCCGTGCTGATGGCTTCCTCGCTGCGTGTTGGGCTAGCCGACCTGATTAATCGTTTCTTACTCTCTCTCTCTCTTTTCGCTCTATTTCGACAGCCCTTCCCCGTTTTTCCTACTTTGGTATCAGCAGAGAACGCCACGACTCGTAACGAATTTCTAATTACAATAGCATTGTAATAAGAATTCAATAGAAACGATATAGTAATTTGTATATAAAAGTAATTTTATTGTATAAAAGCCGTCTAAATAATATATCTGTTTTAAAAAATTTCAAAGATTTTACATAAATTTACAATATATTTCTACAAATTTAACAAATTTATATAACCATTGATATAAAAGTCGTTATATATTTATAAAATTTTTGTAGAATTTTTGAAGCCCTCCTTTTTTAAGGAAAATCACTTTCCGTTTGTAGAAGATCAATATTTTATGATCGAGCACATGTGAGACGTCTCTGCTGTATTTGTCAACGTGCTGAACGCCAAGGCAAACATCTATTCTAAGCGAGTTGAGAATCTAGTAAAATATTAGCATAGTCTTTATACAGACGCAAGGCTCGGAGAACGTTGGCTGGCGTTCAACGCGTTGGAAGATAAACCAAGACGCAATATAGTGGAGAGACGATCTTTTTTTCAAACGTACGTAACGCGTTCGACAATTATGATGCGTTGGTTTATCCATTCTCGCACGATGCTTGCCATCCTCGCCCAATACGTAGTTAGAAGCGCGACCATATTTGCTTGGCTTGGTTTAATGAAGCGTTGTTAGATGACTAGAGGTGTTAAGACTACTTACTTTATGCCCACCTTAAAACCTGCGCACGATAAAAAATCAGAAAGCCAAAAATTAGTCGTCGCACGATATGCGCGAGTTCTTACCTACGGGTGCGATTAGTAGATTTCATTAATACTGTATGTTTAGCAAACATTAATACTCATATTCATTAACTTGCAACAGAAGTGCAAGCCAAGCTGCCACACTGAATATCGACTATATTATCGGGATAATGAACTGAGCTATAACTCTTATGCATACTGGAACGAGCACAAAAAAATATTGTAAAAGTTTATAAAAAACATTTAAGAATAATATCAAAGAATTGTAAACACATCGCTGGGTTTATAAAAAAATATATAAAATTAATAAAATAATTTTAATTTTTTTACTTTGAAGTGGAACAATTCTGGAAACAACTATAAAGAAAATTATTATCTGTTATATTTTACCTTTTTTTGGTTTGAGAGAAAAAGAATTATGTATTGTTCGCGCTCACTTCAGTATACGGGATGTATAAAATTATAGACGTCATTCAAAGCTAGGAAAACCTCTCGTTGGCAGGCATTTCGCGTCGACATCGCTATTATTTCGGGAAACATTCTCAGGGGCGGGAAATCGTTATCTCAAGCAGAAGTCAAGGGGACCAGATTGTATCGGACGTACCTAGACCGTATAGGTTTGCTCTTGCTGACAGCTTGCCTGGAATGCGGTCTCGTATTCGGTTGCGATAGCTCACTGTCGCTGCTCGCTAAGGAAGATCTCGCCGCCACAGCCCCATGAGCAAAATCTTTCCTGTTGGGTAATGCGTTAGAAGATTATTCACCATTAGCGGTTAGTCGTCTCGCAATCGCGGGCTGTTGTACGCGAGCCTAACATGGCCGCGAGCACATGAGTGAAAGTGAATTCAAAGACTCTTCGGAATGACAGACACTTTGTATATGTGTATTGCATAGCGGAGGAGACCTTTACCCTCCTTAATCCTTTTGCGTAGCAAAACACGTATGAAAACACCGCGTTCACTTCTCACTTTCTTCCTCTCTCTCTATTGAACATTTTGAATGATAAATATAAAGAATAAAACATTTTACCAAATTATTTGAGTTTTCTTAAAACCAATTATAAATAACATGTTTCCCTGTTTTTTTATTAACTCAGTTTAAACAAAAATATTTTAGATTGTTGCAAAAAATTATTGCGCACATCTCAAATATAAATGTATATCATAAAAAAGTACAAGTATAGAATTATAGAAATTCAATTTTTAATTTTTGAATTTATTGAGAAGCTATTCAGTTTAAATTATACTTTCGCTCTCGTTATTACATTTACCTGTAATTGTCGGATCTAGGTGTGGAACTGACATTCGCCGTTTTAGAAACGTTCGCGTGCGCGTCTACAAAAACGGGTGAGCTCTTGGGAATGTCGCATACCACTTTAGGATGCACCGTGGTCTGTTTATATTCCAGGTGCGACGACGTGTCGGTGGGCGCCCAATCGTAATACTTTGGCCGATAATCTTTGTACTCCCTCGGTTGCTGTTGCTGCTGTTGCTGTCTCGAATCCACGCTGGACGCTCTTTTACGCAAATACTCATCGCTGCTGACGCTGCTCTTTCGTATAGTCGTCAGTTTTGCCGGTGGGACTGACGTGGGTGATGACGCGGATGACGATGGCGCGCCGTCCGGGTCCGCACGAGATAACTGAGAGCTGTCCCACACGGTGGGTAAGCTACTGTAATTGAAATAGATTGTTAATAACAAATATTCCGCAATTCTAATAATTAAATAATGTTTGTCTTAAAAAGAGTTTAAATGACATTATATTCTCATAAAAAACTACGTTCTTTTTCGTATCTAATATAAGCTTGAATAACGTCTTAAACATTTTATTTAAAACTGAACACAAAATTTGATCGAAAAATTCAATATATCTAAGAGTTCTAAACATTTAATTTCAAGTATAAATTTAAAAGCTTACCTCAAATTTTCATCCATGCTATACAAGCGAAGTTGCTGCCTGATATTCGCCTTTTCTCTGGCTCGTTTTCGTTGAAACTCCTCCTCTACCTTACGCATCGCCTCTAACTCGCCTTTCCTCTGTCTTTCCTTGGCTTCTGCCTCTCGCGATAGTTTCTCCGCCAATCTGCGCCTCTCAATCTGCCGCACAGTACTCTGGAATGTAAATCTACGGCCTTTCGAATTGCTCTTTAATGGTGTCTTGATTTCTGGAGCAATCTCCTTATCATCCTGCAAATTCTGCTGGTCACCGATGGGCGAAGTACTTCGTTGTTTCATCTCGGAAATGTTCTCACACGATTTGGAAAATCTATTCACTTTTTCATTCGCAAAAGGCTTTTCTTTTAACATGACTGATTCTTTGGGATGCTTGTTCTTTTTCTCTATATCTTTACTCGATTTCCTGAGTTCATCCACGCCGTTCTTGCGATACTTTGATCCGGAGCTGTTACCGGAATTCTTCTCGCTTTCCGCTGCCATGTTGCTCCTGTAGCTCAAACTTTGTGTCTGATAATGAGAGTCATTGGACTCAGGCAGGTACATTACATGACCACCGGAAGCTAAATACGAGAACGAGGGCGGTTTCATAATCACGGGAAAGTCGCCACGATCCTCTAAGTCTTCCACTAATACTTCGTCATCATCCTCGTCATCAAAGCCAGGCTTCCAGCCGGATGGCGAGGATCGTGTCACATCTGTGATCTGAGTGTGCTGCAACGACGTCGGGGCACTTGTTGACAGCAGCCAGTTGTCGTCGAGGACATCGCGAGTACGTTTCCTCTCTAGGTCCAACGGCCCGAGTCCGAGGGCGCCCGACACTGATCTCTTCAGCTTCTGCAGCGAGTTGAAAGTCGAGCCCTCCTTCTTCAAATCCGGGTTATACAAATACATACGATTGTCGTCGCGCGGCAATGATAACGAGAATACATGCGCCCTGGGCGGGAATTTCACTGGGGTTGGCATCGGTGGCGGCGAATCTACCCCAGCGTCACTGCTAGACTCCTCGCCTAAATCCTGCTGCGGGGTCCATGTCGGTCTCGTCGCCGGCGTCTTCAATCGATTGTTATTGGTATTGGTGCTGACGTCCAACGAGTCGTCATTGGCCGCACCAGCGTCTCCGGATATGCCGGAATCGCCCGACTTATCGTGCGAGCTTCGCGGACCAAGCACAATCAGCGGCGGAGGCGGCCTCGACAAACGTTCGATACGCTCCTCGAACATCACCTAACATCAAACAATCTAATAGTTTAACCAGAAGCGATTTAAATATTTTACATCTCTTCAGTTCTATATTCGCAGTTCTTGCTAACTATTTACTACTAATTGTCAAGATATTCTAATTCTTTGCGCATTTACCGGAATTTCCTCGCTCGCTGTGCTCATGGTTGGGCCAGGTGCTTCCAAAGCCGATAGTAATCTCCACGCTGCTGATGGTGAAAATCGTGGAATCTCCAGTTGTTTCTTAGGTAACGTAGGTCGCAATTTTAATGAAATGTCCTCGGTCCCGCTTTTCCCCTAAAAATTGCGCTTATGTTAAAAATCTTCAAATTATTATTATTATTTTTTTTTTTAATGAAGAAAGACGCCAAACAACGATCTTGTAATTTGATTTATAGAACATTTATGTTACTCACATCGTCCGTGTAGTCATGACATTCAATTGATCCATTGATCTCTCTGGACTGTAACCTAGATTGGATTTGCTCCATGTGTTGATCCACGCAATTTCGGGACTCATTCGACAACGCTTCGTCCATGCCAAAGTAGAAGGTCTTCGGTGCGGATTTCTCCGGCAATGGCAATCTAGAGAAATAGTCAAGAACATATCATATTTACGTGATGATTACGAATGAATGCGTTAAATTAGTTATCGCTTGTTCGTCGTCACTGGAAAACTAATTGCGTACATACACGCATCCGCGCGCACGAGACTGATAAGGAAAATAACTACCGGAATCGCTCAATGCACGCGTATACATCTGTGACTCGCGAGTGAAAGATAAATTGATCCGGGATGTAAAAGCAAACTTACACGTGCCAATTTTTCTCGCGGACGACTTCCTTGGCTTCTGGTTTTCTCGCAAGCTTCTCTTTGGATTTTGCATCTTTCTTCTCCGCTGTTACGGGAACAGGTTCGCAGGACCATCTCTTCTCATCCGACGCGCCATCAGTATTCCTAACGTCGCTCTTCCGCCATCTACGATCGGGATCTCTCTCCTTCTCTCTCTCTTTGGCCTCGCTCGTTCGCTCGGGCGTGCTTTCCCTCCCAGAGCCCTGCCCGCGAGGATCTGTAACCCTGATATAAGGTCTCACCGGACTCTCGGATCTAGTTCTACCCAAGTCCGTTGTGTTTTCACACTTCCGGCTCTTGGTGACACTCTTGGCTCGTTGATAATCCTCAAGAAGTTCTCTTCGATGCTTCTCCGACGAGAACCTCTCTCCGGAGGAATGCCCCACGGCGTCCAAGTGATCTTTCAGACCTTTCCGAAGAGGTTCTTTCGAATGCATCGCAGAGGGCTCATCGAACATCGCCGATTTCTCGACGAGTCGTCTCTTTCCGCCTGATACACCCTCCGCTTGCCTCCCCTCTAAGTAGTCCTTAGTCCTTCCGAGATCGCGAGCATTCTCTTTGCGCTCGTCATATATGCGCTCATTATGCTTATTTTCGGATCGATTACAACGATCGTTCAGTCGCCTCTCCTCGACGATCCTGTCTTCGATCACACGTTCCTCAGGGCAACTCTCCTCGTTCCTCGCTGATCGTTTTTCCGGCCTTTTCACTTCCTCAATCTTGGACTCTTTCGTGCACCGATCAGTGTCGCTATTACGCTCCAAGTTCATCGACTCCACGGAGGACCTGCCGCCGCAGTTGAGCTTGTTGCGCACCTTCCTGGCCACCTGCATCAACTCTGCTTGAAACTCCGGACTGCTCATACTCCTCTGTAGCGTATTCTTGCCGTCGAAGATACGCGAACGCCTATGTTCGTCCCGACACCAACGATCCTGATGGAGATGATTACTCTGATCGCGCCAGACGAGTCTATTCTCTTTATTGGCGACGCGGCCGTCTTCACCTCGCCATCGTCGCTCGTTGTCTAACCCGCTGCCACCGTTTTCACAGCGTTCCGTGACAACATGAGTTTGCGACAACGAGGAAGAAGATAGCCAGTTGACCTGCGCTCTCTTCGTCTCTGCTCGCGTCTTGAAGAGACGCGACCGCCTCGGTGGCGGTTGGATCTCTTCTTCACCGCGACAACCATTCGGTCGAATCTGGCCGGATTCATTGCACCTAAGAATAACATTCCTACATCGAGACATGGATGTTTTAGACTGGCAACGTATAAAAAGAGAAACTTTCTTTTTCTATTAATATAATTTATATACATAGAAAGAACGATTTTGCTGGAGTATCTATAGAAAATTTAGCTTAATGTAGATTTGAAAATAATTTTATTATTTTGTTTACTATCATTGTTTATTTGATTGATTAAATGTGACCTCTCTACCTTGATTTATTTGTCATATACAATATATAAAGAAAGATGTATCCGTTGCTCCATTACATTTTTCTAGACGTGTTGTATTAATTTATTATTTTTTTCCTTATTTATATTGTTGTAATCATTATGTAATCATTATGTAATTTTTAACAATATGAATATACTGATGAAGAGCTCTGTGTAACTCAAACTTGTAAATATTTAAATTTAATTATTAAATGTGAATTTCTTCGTTTTTAAATAAACATTATATTCAACATCTCATATCATTTTAATTTGTTTTATTTTATTATTTTTGGACACTATTGCAAATTCAGTTATTAACTTTATTTGAAAATAAATTTATTGCACTATCAAAATAATTATATAAGACTCCCAAAGTGATTTCTAGAATGTCGAAATTTTGTGCATTGTTCTCATCATGCTTGAGTTTCCTACATAATTATTTTGATGATCCCAAATTATTTTCAGATTTGTATCTACCTATATTTTTGGATACTTTAGCAAAATTGTTCTTTTTGTGTAGTCGATAAAAAAAGATTAACATTAGCAATTTTTATCAATGTCATATATATATATTTCATTTTAAATAATTATTACTCCTTTAAGAGAAAGAATGTCTACAGAGTTGTTATTAATGGAACCTTTGGGACTGCAGGCTTGTAAATTAAATAATGATAACCCGAGACAAAAACGGACTATTCGTTGCAAAGTATTCATAATATTCCTACCTATAAGAATCCGGAGACGATCCGTCAACGACGCCGTTCGTCGGCGGCGCCGGAGCCTTGTATTTCTTCTTGCCCCTGTACCGACTCTCTCGTTCTCTACACTCTCGCTCGGGATAATGCCCGCTTCCGCAATGCCGGTGCTCCATCGCGTGCTGATGTTGCTGCTGCTGCTTCCCGTTGCAGCGTGCAGCCTCTCGCGCCATCGGTGAGTACCGCAGATCGGGCTCGCTGCCGAATCTTTTGAGCTCCTGCATCTCGTTCTCCATGCAACATCTCGACCCATTCCCGTAATAGCAGCAATGGTGTTCGATCTTGCGGCTGCGTGACGCGCCGATGTTCGATGCTGAAGTGCTGCGGCTGCGAAATATTCCCTGCTGGAAGGCGAGAAGGCAGGGCTTTTAAAGATATACATGTATGTGTCAAAATTTAAAGTATTGCCAAAAATATAAAAATTGCATAGATTGTTCTATTATAAGTATCTAAGTATCTGTGCAAATTTAAGCACAATTTTCTTATGGTTTAAAAGTTATTTAATTTTCTTGTCAACGTTGATCCTTGTATAAAATTGCGTTATGTAGTACTTATTTGTAGATTTAATGAAGAAGTAAATATTACGAATTAAATTCAATGTTTTTATATATAGATATATTCTAATAAAACTTTAATAAACTTTAATTCGTGCAAACATTCATTTAAATCTACAAACTTTTAAAAATTATTTACATAAAACTGGAGGAAATATGACAATTACGCTTCATACCATTAAAAGCCAAATAATCTGTTTTGTTTTATGCAATTTTAAGGCGTATTTACGATAAAATTTTTTTACTAGCTGATATTGGCTTATGTGGCTGATATTTTTAGTTGATGTAAACCAGGACATCCTTAAATCCCTACTTGAATTTCTGATTTACTTTGCATTGTTTAACTATATTTACGACGACCTAGATTTCAGCCGCTTTGAATGCGCCAACTGGAAATGAACAAAATATAATATTTATGTCTGCCTCTCATAATAAAAGTTCTCATTAGCGATTATATGCATAATGGGTTAAGAGAATATTTTTATCTCTTAAGTATTACATAAAGGTAGAACGGTAAAGTATAATACTTATTCTTAGAACATTGTTGATTTACTTCATTCTGATGCGCGTAATAAGCGTTATAGAGAACGATGGGCACCGTGACAAAGCGGGGCGGATGAGAAACCGTCGTTTCTGTGCGATCGTCGGCACAAAGCCGCTTCGATGAAGGCCGTGTGATACATTTCGCGAATTCGCGGTAAAAAGGTGCTCTATAGAATAATCTTAACCGGGTTACGACACATGGCGCCCGGCCAAAAGACGAATTCATGCATTACCTCGCATGAGAATTCTAGACGATGGAAACGCCAGTCCTCCTTCTGTCTGCGGAGACAGAAGGAGGACTAGCTAGGCACGAAATCAGGAGATTAAATTGAGGTGAATCGGAATGAAAAATTCGGCAATCTTTTCGGTAATTTCGCGAAGACAAACTTTCACGCTGAAAAAATTCAGAGCAAAAAATATTAATCTTTTCGTGATTCTTACTTTCGGCTAAATACAATTTGCATCTAAGCAAATATGTGAAGCAAGAAGACAGATGTAGATTTACTACATACATTTATTTCCCTTCTTTATTTTTGGGATTTAATAGATAAAATTAGATGTACAAATTAGATGTACAGTGAGAAAAATCTCTGGTTGAAAATAGACGAACCAGAAAATTCTGATTATATTAATCAGAATTCTGATATCTCAATTAGAATTATAATAGATTCAAAATTTCTCCATTTTCAACTAGAATTCTTCTTAATACAATCAGATTCTTCTTCTAGTTTACAAATTGATATTATTTATATTAATTACACATTTATATGTGGAATTTAAAATTATAATAAAAAATAGTTGAGGTAAAATCAAACAATGTGTTATTCACAGATAGATGTAGAATTTCATCTTAGAATATAAAGAAAAACGGCAAAAAATATTATATTAGGAATTCTATAGAAAAATAAATGGAACCGATTGCAATTCGAACTTAAGATTTTACTCCTAGCATTTAGGATGCTACCTTACGACTGCTCAACTACTACTCTCATAATTATTCATCTGAATACCATTAATTGACTTCGAATTGGCTTTTAATTGCGATTCTTTTTATATTTCCTACCAATAAAATCTTTTTTGTTACAAGAATAAAGATTTGTTATTCCTCATTTTCTTCAGAACACTTCTGACCGTCCGATCACTGCGGAGGCGCATTTATTGCTCCGGAATATCACACTCTCCGAATCGAAGCAGTTTGTAGCATGTTTGTAGCATATCTTTTCGTGGAGGCGTTCCGACGAAGCAGACACTTCGTCCTCGAAGTGAATTGAAAACAAACATGATAATATGTCTCGTGTAAAACGCAAAAATGTATTCTTTGGTCCTTGGTTTATCACAAACGAAACGACTAATAGATTATGACAAATCAGACATAACGTTACGTTTCCAACATACTGAGTAAAAATCATTGACAACGTGATTGAACTTCATGAACAACGTATCGTCTAATCTATTATTATCATCCAGTCCTTGTCTGCCATACTGAGAGAATGTTTTGGTACTCATAACCATTTATTTTGTTGATACCTGATACTAAAAAGTTTCCTTGCTTTTTTATTTAAAAATTGTGTTGTTCTAATTAAAATTTTGTCATTTCAAATTTCAATCAAATTTCATTACAGCGACACAGTTTTTAAATGAAAGAGTAAAACAGTTTTTGTCAGTTGTTATAAAACAAGAAAATAAATGGTTATACGTATCAAACATTTCTCTATATGCATTATTGTTATCGAGAAAAATGATGAATCGCGTGAGAATCTGTGATGCCTGGCGATACAAATTTCTGCTCACCCGCCGATGATGTGTACAACTACAATTACAGTCGTGTGGCGGCTCGCATTTTGCGGCACACGAGGAGCATGGCACGCCACGTCATCAGCGCGACTCGAAAAGCCGCCGCGAATCCTTACCTTATTAAGGTCGTGCGGAAGCGTGAGGGCCGGCGGCCTGCGGCCGCTTATGGTTCCCCCGTTGTGAATGATGCTACCATTATTGGTGGCGCGTAGTCGCTGATTGGGCGGCTCCGGCAGGACCTTGTGTCCTGTCGGCTGCTGAGGATGATGCCTCCCCAGCTCCCGGGGGAAAGACTGCGTCCACCCGCGTCCAGCAATCTCCTGCGACGGCCCGTTGGACGCGCAATATTGATGGGAGCTGCTGCCGTTGTTGCCCATTTCTATGCCGACCTGGCGTCTCTATGGTGCGCACGATTCGCCATTCATCTTGCATCTGGAAGGATCAGAAAGCGCGGGACCAATTATCTAACGTGTTTGCCTGAAATCCTATTGAGAGATACTGTGGGATCTAATTGGATTCGTAAAGCTGAATGTGCCACAAATCCGCACATTTTTATGAGAGCAATAAGAATTACGCTGTTTCTATAAAGCATAATATGACTTTCAGAAAGATAAGCTAATCAGCTAGACAGATCAAACAGTTCGCAGGGAGTTTATAAGTAAAAGGACAATGAAGTCCATAACTATAATTCTTACGCGATGTAAGGATTAGTAGTTAATTAAATAGAAATAATAAGAATAGGTAGAAAAAAATGATAATTAATTACATATTAATTGGAATAATAAATATATAAATTAAGTATTACTTATAGAGATGAGAGAGATAATAATTCTAACGAACAAATAAATTATAACGAAGAAGAATAAAAAGAAACAAAACGTAAAAAGTAAATAGATGTAAATGTTAATACAGTTATGAGCCAGGTTTAAATACGCTGTAAGACGATCGGTTGGCCAATTAGGAGGATTAATTTACAAACCAGTTCCAATTTCCCTTAAACCATCTGCGTCAAAAGTACGCTTTCGCATATCAATTCGTTGTCGCTTTGCATAAGACGATTAAAGATTTTAATTAAACGTTAATGAGAGTAATCAATTTGCAAATATGTTGCAGAGTCCGTCCCTTAAATACTCTTCGGTACTACACTTTTGCATAATAACTCGCTATATTTTAACGCCTAGTACACATCTAATTAATATTTTTTCCGTAAGAGATACATTTTACGAGCCAACTTCATCCATGATAGTCTCCTCACTAAAAAAAACTCTTCGTATAAATATATAGTACGGAAGCGCAGCATTTTCTTCTCGGTATCATGACACGTAAGAGAAAGAAAGAGAGAGAAAGAGCGCGAGTATCGTATGAAAATATC